TCGGAACGGTCTCGAAGCGCGGATGCTTTTACCGGAACGTGCGCGCGCGGAACGCTCGAACGAATCTCTCTCGTCCCGCCCAGGTCGAGCGGCGACTTCCAGGAGGCGTCGGACGTGAACGCGCGCGAGCTCTGCGACCTCGCCGTCGCGCTGAGCCCCTTCGTGGCCGACCACTCGTTCACGAACAACTACTCCTTCTCCCACGAGGCCGCGTTCTACCGGCGCCTCGAGAAGTTCCACCCGGGCCTCATCGACTGCGTCCTCGAGGGCTCCGACGCGCGGCGCGCGGACATCGCGCGCGCGATCCACGTTCTCATGGTCGAGCAGGTGGACCGCGGCACGGCCGTGGGCCGCGTCGGCGGCGTCGTCCGCGCGAAGTGCGTCGACAGGAAGGACCGCTCCTCCGTGCTCTTCTTCCTCCTCCACTGCAGCGCGACGAACTTTGGCATCGCGAAGCGCTTCTTCGACGGCATGGTCCGCGCGACGCCCAAGCTCGCGGCGCGCCGCGAGGCCTTCCGCGAGGAGCGCGCCGCGCGCCACATCCAGGAATGCTTCCGCCGCCGCCGCGGGGCCTTCCGAGCGCGGCCGCCGGCCGCGGGCGACGCGCGCCGCCCGTTCACGAAGCACGAGGACCTCGTCGCCGAGGACCGGCGCCTCGCGGAGCGGTTCCGCGACCACCCCCTGGCCCTCGTCGAGCGGCGCTCGCGGGAGCGGCTCCAGCGGCGCGGCGAGACGAAGCAGCACACGCTCGAGAGCCTCACCGAAGCCGTCGCCAATCGCATGACCGTCCTCGACCGCGTCCTCGGCGCGCCGTGGGCCGGGCAGCCGCGGCCGGCCCCCCGCTACGTCCGCCGCGGCTCGGCGGAGTCGGCGTCGCTGTCGGCGAGCGCGCGCGACCTCCCCCGCCTCGGCTCGGGCGCGTCGACGTCGCGGTCCGAGTCGCTGGCGAGCGCGCGCGACCTCCTCCGCGGCTTGTCGACGTCGTCCGCCGACGCACAGGACGCCGCCTACTGCGGCCTCTACCCCTAGATCCCGCATCCCCACCATGGGGGGGGTTGCTCCGGCAACGTCGGCAGCGTCGCGCGACGGCGGCGTCTAAAGTCACGCTTTTTTGCATGCGCCGGGAGAGGTCCGGTGGCTACGCTCGCGTGAAGCAAGCTCTTTCTAACTCGACGATCTCGGCACAATATCCTCGAAAAAGGACCGCCTACGTACGAATACGCGCGTATACGCGCCAGCCATGCGCTGCGTATAGGTGCAGAACGGTCGCTTTTTGTGGTCGGGGCGACGCCCCATGACCCCTGGCGTCGCCCTGGACGGTTGGTGAGTGCCGGAGACGCAGTTTCGGTGTCGGTCCAAAATCCACCCTACGGGCCTCGTTCGTCCACCGCGCTCCTACGGACAAATCCGGCACAGCCGATCTCGCCACCATCGATGGCGTTGGACATGCCCCTTGGTTTCCTAGTCGACGGTACTATGAAGGTTCGTTCGCGCTCAAGATCGTGACTTTCGAGTACCGCGTCGCTGCGCTAGAGGGGTCGGCCGGGGCGCCACTGGCGGAGCAAACCCCCCCCTCCCCACCTGAGGCGACCTACTCGCGCCGCGCCGCAGGCTTTGGCGAGCACCTGGAGCGATGGCAGCCACCCACTCGGGGCGCCCGCCAAGCAGCGAACCCCTTCCCAGTGGCTCAGCCCCCGCGGCGATGCCGGCCAGGGGCTCAGCCGCGCGCGCGCGCGCGAGGCGCACCTCCCAGCGATCGCCGCCGCTGCCGTCGCCTCGTCGACACGCTCGCCGTCCATCCTCCAGCAGCGCGTGCGCACGCCGCGTCCCTTTGAACACCCCCGTCGCCTTCCGATGACGACAAAATTTCTGGCACCAGTCTCGAGCGGGAGTTGCCCTCCCTTTAACAAGCATGCTGATATACCTTTTGGAATTACCGGCCGAGGATCCGACGCGCGCGCGTCGCCCGTCGCCCGCGCGCGCGGCGCCCGCCGACGACCGCCGCCCGCAGGCCCTCGCGCGGCCGAGCGCGGACGGCGGCCGAGCGCG